ATAAACTAAAACCTTCCAGTTAGATTGGAACTCTGTTCTATCCTTAATGAATCAAGCGTGCGAGGCTTTATAAAGGTAAAGTCTAGTTCTCTTGTCACCAAATGGTTGGAGTAATATTCTCACTTCCATTTGCACACAAACTCAAATACATTAGAGCCTTCATTTAGGGTCTTACCAAGTCAGTAACAGACTCATCAATGAAGACAGACAATATCACCTAACATCAGCAAATAAACCATTCACGGATCAAATGAAGCATGAGAGTTTGATGGCATAAAGTCCACAGAACTCGCATAGTCAATTGAATATGTTGGGCTTCATAAAGTTAAAGTCTTTTTATCATGTTCTTCGCCTTAAGGCAAAAGAAATTTTCTACATTAGGCTAGATCAGTAAGCGATGGTAAGACTAAAATGATTTACCGTGAGTAGCAGGGTTCCAGCCATAAGGGTCTTACCAAGTCAGTAAGTGCACCAAAAGCAAGAAGTAATATTATATTGAGCAATGTTATTTTTGCTCAACAAACATAAACTGTTGTGCCGTGGAGTTAAACAGAAACTGCCGTTCATTACCTGCAGCAATGTTATATTGAGCACTGCAGCAAATATAACATTGTTTCCGTTTATAAAATGCAGCAATGTAGACATTGGAAGTGAGAATATAAAATATTCATATTGACAGTGCTCAACAAACATCTAGACAGTGCTGAATACAACATTGTTTCCGTTCATAAACTGAAGCAATATATGTAAATGTATATTATGGAATGTCTATATAACATTGCTTCTTAAGTGTCTAGCTGCCAACAAACTTTGTTCCTCCCATTAAAATTTTACTATTTGTTTTTTTTTGAGATAAGTTAAACGAACTGAAAATACTTTGAAGTTTCAAGGTCCAATACACACGCCTCAAACTCCACACATAATACTCATCTTAATAAAGATACATTCCTGATGTCAAGGCATAACATGGAACCAAAATTATGGATCCCATCACAAGTACTGAGAATGGAAGCTTGGTGGAAGCATTTTTCCTCATCGGTAGTATCAAAATGGTATGTGAGGGGGTGCTTCCACAGGTTAGACAGGTGGTTTTAATTTTATTTTTATACACCTACACCAACCATCCGAGATTGGGATTTGAGTTATGCAATCTAGGGGATTCGGTTTGGAAAAAAGACGCTTTTAGGAGAGCCATCCAAGTATTCACAGCATCATGCACTCCGTGAAAAAGACAACATATACCAGTATACCACGTTATCAATCCACCTTCATGATGACGTTGAAGCATTTGTGAGATTCAATGCAGGAAGACATAGAAGGAGCCCACCTCGCATACATTAGACTTATTTTATACGGAGTATAATATTTAGATTAGTTACGCCAGTTCTCAGAATTAGGTATTACTTTTACAGTTAGATTGGAACTCTGTTCTATCCTTAATGAATCAAGCGTGCGAGGCTTTATAAAGGTAAAGTCTAGTTCTCTTGTCACCAAATGGTTGGAGTAATATTCTCACTTCCATTTGCACACAAACTCAAATACATTAGAGCCTTCATTTAGGGTCTTACCAAGTCAGTAACAGACTCATCAATGAAGACAGACAATATCACCTAACATCAGCAAATAAACCATTCACGGATCAAATGAAGCATGAGAGTTTGATGGCATAAAGTCCACAGAACTCGCATAGTCAATTGAATATGTTGGGCTTCATAAAGTTAAAGTCTTTTTATCATGTTCTTCGCCTTAAGGCAAAAGAAATTTTCTACATTAGGCTAGATCAGTAAGCGATGGTAAGACTAAAATGATTTACCGTGAGTAGCAGGGTTCAAGCCATAATGGTCTCATTCTTTGACACTGGCCCCATCTTCTCCAATTTCTCCCTTGCAAGCTTAGGTGCATCTGGGGCTCTGGGCTACTCTTCACTGTTGGTGGATAGATGATATACATCAGCAATGGCAAAGATATCCCTTTGTTTAGCAGCATCTAATTCCTGAACAAATCTAACATCAACAAATATGTCTCCATTAGAGTAAAATCCAGTAATTGAATACTTCCAACACTCGAAATCTGAAAAACATTCACATGAATTAATGTAACTGCATGGATACTATACAAAAGACAAAACAAAAGGTTTTCAATCTCATTGTGAGATAAAAATTAGAAACAACAAACTACACATAAAACAGATAAATACATACTCGCAGCTAAGAGAACCCATGCATTCTTCTAGAACAAATAATGGGCGGAGTCAATACCACGAAACAAAATGACAGAATTGGGACAACATCCATACTGCGAGAACTGACAAGGAAAAAGATAGAACAAACTTGGAGTGAACTTTAACACTCTAGTGTAAACATATCAGTTATGCAAAAGCACGAAAAGTGATCATATACTTGCAACATCTGGCTCAGATATGGTAGAAATATTTATTCCCCTCAAGACACACGACGATACTGGTACTTATAACATTTGATCCAGATGTGGCAGTCAACTTTATTCCACTACACACAAAAAATCACTTTTGGGGGAGAATTTAAAATATTGAAGTGTGAGATGTAAAGAAATGCTCAACATTTAATATTTTTTTAGAGATTCTTACATATGAAAGAAGCTTGTGCTGCTTCTTGTCTCCCACGAACTTCTTGAAACCTTGTTACAACGATCTAACACAAGAACAACTCACACAAAATATAAATTAAAGAACTAATATAGCATAAGAAAGAAAGTCATTCAACATAGTCTCTCTTCCTCATAGGTGGGAAATGTGCTTTAACATGTAATAGTAATGCCTTGTTTTTTTCCCTCTCTCCT